CATCCTGAAATTTTGACACACAAAATTTGCTTTCCCCCCTTTTAATATTTATGCATTGATTAATCCGTATAATACAAATATTCAAGTTTTGGGGATCAGTGCGTGAGACACGTATAGATATATATATATAGTACCTATATGCAAACAATATTTTCTGCTTTATTTTCCCTTTAAAGTTGGTGCACTTGTACAAATATATTATTAACTATTTTAATTTTCTATTTACAAGTCCATTTGCTGTTTTCACAATCAAAGTTGTTGTTAATGAATTGTATTTAAATGCCAACCTCTTTACAAGCATTAAGATTATTATTTCTTATTTTTATTATTTTCTTCTTTTTAATATTCTTCCATGATAAAATAAATTTAAAATGAGGTTTTATCTTTTAATTTCATTAAATATTGTATATATTCATAGCGGATGCTTAAATATCTATCTCGTAAAACTAAAATGAGATTTGTTTTCATTTTATTCATTATTGTTGATTCATAGAATGGGGCTTATATATAGCTTACGATTACAATGCCAAAATAAAAGAAATATAAGATCATGAACTGATGGGACCACTTGATATTTGTAACGTGGAAAATAAATGGGTTGTTTTTTTTTTAAAATTTTTTTCAGAACAATTTTATAATTTTTTAAGAAATAAGTTTTGAGAATAAAAAGATGAAAAATATGTTTGGATGACGATTTTAAAAACCACATTTGAAACAAAAAAAATAAAAAATCACATTGTGCAATTTGATTTTATAAAAAAAGTTAAAATGTGTTTTGGATCATTAGAAATATGTGTTTGCTGTTTGTTTTTATATATAAAGTAATCCATTTCTTTTCAACATGCTATTCAGTTTATGTGCTTTAAAAAAGTTTCATGTTTGTAACGTATATGAGTGGACGCAATGCCTTGCTTTTTTTTTTTTTTTAAATGAAAGGATTTGCCTTTGAAAAGATTTTTATGATACATCCAATTCTCTCATCAAAATATATATAACTCATATCTTATCCTCTTTTAAATTGAAACCAGTGAGATTCCATCATCTGTCCTCAACATTTCTTCTCTAAGAGTGTTGGATTTGGCCAAAAACAATTTGAATGGTACTCTTCCAATATCAACTAGCAATGGGACATTGTTGGAAGAATTATATTTATTATGGAATTTCTTTACAGCTATGCCCAATCAACCCATTTCTTTATTTTATGTTTTGAAGATTTTTATTTTTTTTATTTATACTTATTCTGTATTGCTTGCAAACTTTTTAATTAAGATTGCTTTAACCCTCTATTTGGATGGAGAGAAAAGTTTGGAAGAAAGAGAACTAGGAGAGAAAATAGGAAACAAAAGTGAGAGGAAGAAAAAGTGGGAGAGAAAATGGGGTGTGGGATTCACCATATTTTTCTCTCAAACTTTCTCTCCACATGTGAAAAGAAAATGGGAAGAAAATGCACCTTCCACTACTGCCCTCACATCTGCCCCTCTTCATTATGATTTTTGTGAGTGAAACTCATGGCAAAACTGAGCTTCACATTATAGCTGTTCTTATTATCCCCAGCAATATTGCTTCACGTGTGAAAAGAAATTTAATGTTCAATTGATCATTGATAGTAGAGGAGTCCTTTTTAAATTATTGTCGTCAACCTAAAAACCTTGATATTTTCTATTAGTTTTAAACCCCTAATTATCAAAATTCCATGTATTATTTATATGATTGTGTACGTGTGAGTTTATTAGGAAGTTGCTTGCCATACTACCATGTAATTAACAAATATTTGGTATTTATTTACAGGTGAAATTCCTTCATTTCTTTGGAGCATGCCTTCTTTGAGAATTGTTGATGTTGGCGTCAATCATTTAAAGGGTAATTTGCCAGCAAAAATGTGTCATCATCTCCCTTTACTTGAAACCTTTGGTGTTAATGATAATCAATTAGAGGGAAGCATTCCAAGCTCAATAAGCAATTGCACATCTTTGAAAGAATTATATTTGGAGGGTAACTTATTTACAGGTATGCACTTATGTGTGTTTGTTTTCTTCTTTTTAATATTTTGTATGCACTTATGATAGGACTCGTATGATTACAATCCCAAAATAACAAATAAAGCCAAGATTATGAATAGACAGAACGTCATGATATTAGTAAGACCGAAAAGTTATTGTTTAACTGTAATTAAAATTGCACATAATATTTCTTAAAAAATTATAGTGTAGGAATTGAAAAATGCACAGTAAACAAAAAAATTATTTAGATAATTATAGAAATCAATTACAAATAAAATTCAAAACAAAAATTTAAAAGCAAATAAAAAATGCTTATTCAAGCAAATTTAAGTTCAAATTAATGAACGAGAATACATGATCTTTTCAATAGTCAGTCAAATTATTAAATCGCATCATTCGGATTCATTTGAGTTTACAGAGAAACCGTTTTATGTTCAATGGTATGTGAAATTAAATATCTGAAATTAAAAGAAGGATACAAAATCAACAGGTTGAGGAAAGTATGCTTTCATAATTTCTCACTTCAACTGTACCCTAAAAAATCTCCTGGAAAGAAAAATTTCTGGAAAAAATAGTTTAATGCTTTATGCCACATATGATTTATTGGCAGTGCACAAAATATTCATACAGTTAAACTTAACAGATTCACATGCAATTTGTTAATTAAGAAATTTGCGTTCTCCCTTCTTAATATTAATAAGACACGTGTAATTTTTTAATAGTATGCATGTATATTATGTATATTATTTATGCAAAAAATATGACCTGATTTATTTTTTATTCTTATAAGTCCAATCAATTTTTTTACAAGCAGTTGTTACTAATTAATTATATTTGGTTGCCACCCTGTATATAACCATGAGATTATTATATCTTATTTTTTATTTTTTTTCATTTTTAAAATCATTTTTTTCAATAGACTAAATTTAGATGAGGATTATGTTTTTCATCATTTCATTAATATCGTACTATTCATAGTGGGGTTTTTTAATATAACTATTAATTTACAATCCAAAATATCAAAAGATCAAATCATGAATTGATGGTGGTCTATAAAATATTTTTTGGCCATTTCATTTATTCATATTGTTCATTCATATGATAGGAGTTATGTATATTAAGTTTGTGATTACAATGCCAAAATAAAGGAAAGACAAGATCAAGAAGTGATGGGACCATTTAAAACTACCACATCATTTATACTTTGATAAATAAAATAGGTTCACCATATATAATTTGCTCAGGAATTATTCCAATTGAGATTGGAGATTTTACAAACCTCCAAATCCTTGATCATGGTGTGTGCTTTGCTCATAATGTGATTTATCTTGTTTTTTTAAATTATTTAGTCCTCCAACTTTTAACTACACATCTTTAGTTTTTATTTTTGTTTTAATATGTACAATGCAGGAAAAGATAACACATGCCTTGCATGAACAAAAATGAATCAATAAACATTTCTAACTTCATCTGTGGTCGCATTCCTTCTATGTGTGAATTTCTAACTTCAGGTGCTGATAAGGATGTTAAAAAGGATTAGCTTTAATATTTCTTTCTAATATCCAGAATGTATAACTAAAAATACTTTTATATAAAAAAAATTAATTTAATTCCTTAAACAAAATAAAATAAAATTTCAGCCTTTTTTTGGCATATGATAATTGTCATATTTTAAAGTTAGAGCCTTTTAAATAGTTAACAACCTTCAAGCAAAATATAAATGATTTGGTAGTTCATTTTAAATAGGTGAAATTAATTCCACAGTCTTTCTTTACGATTCTTCTTTGAAAGATATTAAAGTAAAATACATTAACTACTCCTCTATAATCAAAAACCTTTAATCTATTTTGAAAAAATATATAAACCTCCCTTAAAATTAAAATGTATGCTACAAAAACTTCCTTTGTATATTTCAAATTTTATTTCGATCCATCTAACTATTAGTTGACTGTTAAGTTTGACTATTAAAATTTCTTGAACCAAATACCCCTCCTTAATATAAAAGTTATTTCAACATTTACATTTTTCAAAAAAAAATTTAATACATATATTTTCAAAATTTTTAAAATGTAATAAAAATTACTAATTTTGATTATATTGTAAAATTTTATAATTTTAATTGTTCATCACATATAATGAAACTTATTTATTTATTTTTTTAAATAGCTAGAAAATAAAAGAAATACATTTTTTCTCATTATATAATATAAATTGTCTCAGTTTGAGAGATTATAGAAGTCATTTAAATTTATAATTTAAAAATTTTAAATAAAAATTTTATTAGAAATATTTATAACTTATTCAGTCAATTATATATTTACTTAAAAAATTAATCAAATTTCCATTCAAGGTTTTTAAGTCTACACTAACTAAACTATCAAGGTTTTTAAGTCTACATTAACTAAATTACTTAATTTTTTATCCCAATATGATAAAAACATTAAAGAAATAACTATTTGCAAAAAGTAAAAAATAAAATTCAGGAAAAGGAAAAAATTTTAAATTCTTTAAAAAATTTTAACTAAATTTAGTATTATGAAGGATAAATTAGTAAATAAAAATATTTTAATATAAATTTTAATTAAAAATCTTTTAAAAATATTTGTAATAAAATTAACAATTTGGATTTAAGTGTATGTTTTCAAAAGAGAGGGGAGGTTCGTGTAATTAGGACAAAATACAAGAAAGATCAGAGTATTTAATTCTAAATTTATTTGTATATATTCTTATCTAAACTATATAAAAGTCATGATTTCCATCAGTTTTTTCATGTCTAGGTTTTGAAGCAAAAAATATAGGCAAACTTGATAAACTTAATGTGTTAGACTTGACACTGTTCTTTTTAATATATTCAACATGTGAGTATTAATAAATATTGAGTTTTTGGAATTAGTAAGAGAAGTATAGTTTTCTATGTTATAGTATGCATGTATATTATCTGCAAACATTATTATCTATTTTGGTTTCTTTTAAGGAGTCCATTCAACTTTTTATTTCCAGGTTATATACCCAAGGATGCAGGCAATCTTGTTAGACTTGAAATGTTAGACTTGGGAGCAAATAATTTGCATGGATCTATTCCTTCCAATATATTTAACATTTCAACATTAACAAGAGTGTTCCTTGATTGGAATGTCCTCTCTGGCCTTTTGCCATCATATTTAGGAATTGGTCTTTCCAACCTGCAGGAGTTAGATTTGGCAGGAAATGGACTAACTGGACAAATTCCAAATAGCATATCAAATGCTTCTAAGCTCATTAAGTTAGATTTGTCATCGAATAAATTTAATGGAGTTATACCCACTACCCTTAAAAGTTTAACAAACTTGATAGAATTAGATTTGGGTGAGAATCATTTGACAGGGTTGATTCCAGACATATTTAACTGATTACATAACCTTCAACGTTTAAGTCTAAGTAACAACAAATTGCACGGGTTCATTATAAATGAACTTTGCCAACTCAAAGGTCTAAGTGAGTTGTATCTTGCTAAGAACATGTTTTCAGGAGCAATTCCAGGATGTCTCAGAAATACTTCTTTACGGAAGTTAAATTTTAGCTCTAACAAATTGATATCTCATATACCCTCTTCTTTTTGGGATCTCAAAGATATCTTGCTTTTAGACATATCTTCTAATGCACTAAGTGGAATGATTTTACCAGAGGTATCAAACTTGAGAGCAATTATACTATTGAACTTGTCCAGAAACCAAATTTCAGGAAGCATCCCTGCAACTATGGGAAGCTTGCAAACTTTACAGACTTTATCTTTAGCTCACAACAAATTGCAAGGGCCTATTCCTGAAACGTTTAGTGGCATGATAAGCATGGAGTCTATGGATCTTTCTCATAATTACTTATCTGGGGTGATTCCAAAGTCCTTAGAGTCATTACTCTATCTTAACTACATCAATCTTTCCTACAATTTATTGCATGGAGAAATTCCTGATGGTGGCCCTTTTTGGAATTTTACTGCCCAATCTTTTATGATGAATAAAGATCTTTGTGGGAAATCCCAACTACAAGTTCAACCATGTAGGAGAGGAAACAAGCACATATCAAATAAAGTGATGCTACTGATAAAATGCTTATTGCCCATCATGTTTGTCATTTTGGTTGTTTCAAGCATTATCTTTCTAAAGCATAAGAGAGATGATGATAATTATTCAACCAAAAAGGATTTAACAGATTTGGATACACCAACTAGGATATCCTATTATGAACTTCTACAAGGAACAAATGGATTTGATGAGAGTAATCTTCTAGGCTCTGGAAGTTTTGGATCAGTATACAAAGTAATTCTTCCTAATGAAAATATAGTTGCTGTCAAAGTATTTAATAACTTAGACACAGAAGAAGCATTAAGAAGTTTTGATATTGAATGTGCTGCCGTACGCAATTTACGCCATCGCAATCTCATTAAAACCATTAGCAGTTGCTCAAACAATCATTTCAGATCTCTAATAATGGAATTCATGGCAAATGGGAGTCTCAACAAATGGTTGTACTCTCATAACTATTATTTAAATGTCTTGCAAAGGCTGAATATAATGATAGATGTGGCAACAGCTTTGGAGTATCTTCATCATGGTTCTCCTATACTAGTTGTTCACTGTGATGTGAAACCAAGCAATATTTTGTTAGACGCAGATATGGTGGCTCATCTTAGTGATTTTGGTATTGCTAAATTATTTGGTGAAAAGCAATCAAAAATTTATACCAAATCTTTGGCTACTATTGGCTATATGGCACCAGGTAATGGATTAGTAATATTATTGTGGATTTATTTCTATGTTCTTTTGTTTATCATGCATGCTTTATAAAATTCTATACTACTCAATTTGTAGCAAATATTCGTGCCTTCATATGTAAATATTTGAACAAATGATACAAAAAAAAAAGATTAACAAGGGACAAACCTTATGGTTTTGACATCATAACTTTTACACTGATTATTCAACATGACATACAGAGTATGGATCAAAAGGAGTTGTCTCTACCAAAGGAGATGTGTATAGTTATGGTATTTTGCTGATGGAAATGTTTACAAGGAAGAAGCCAACAGATGAGATATTTGTTCAAGGATTAAATTTGAAAGACTGGGTGAGCAAATCCACACCACATTCAATCATCAATATTATAGATGCAAATTTGTTGCATAGAAAAAATCAAAATACTGATAATATATTATCTCATATATCATCAGTTTTTGATCTAGCATTAAAGTGTTGCAATGACTTACCTGAAGTACGACTTACTATGATTGATGTTGTAGTGTCATTGAAAAATATCAAGGCTTTGTTAATGGAAAATGCTCAGGACATTGTTAGTTGAGTAATTGTTAAAGCATATTTTAAGTACCATTTCTTTAACTTTTTTTTTTTTGGGTAACACTTAGTCCTATAAATTAGAGTGATTCTGTGTACAATGTAATAATATGTAAAATTATTTGAAATTTGAAATCTTCTCACTTGATCGGATTCATTCCAAATTTCTTTATGTTTCATTATATCACTACTACAAAATGAACATTTTTGGCCTCAATTCTCTTTTGTTTTCAAAAAAAGAAGAAGCTAAATATACATGTTTGTCAAAAGAAAACATATTAGTATATGAATATATACTTGTTTGTTCTCCATGAATAGATGAATATATGTTCATATACTCAAATGTTATCCTTCAACAGACATGAATGGATGTTTAAATGCTATAAATTAGATTGAATAACCCTAAGGCAGAAAACCTTGTGCATTCTCCTCCTTTCCACGACATATCTTCTTCTCTATTGACAAACTCACAACAACAATATGTATAGATGCCGAAACTCATAATGGACAACTCAGCTTGAGGTGAGGACATGTATTACAACTCTCCTTATCATTTTGCTGTAAAAAAAAAGTTATGATTTTGCATTTCTAAAAGTTGTGACTTTTCAACTTGTCTTCTCCATGATAGTTCTGAGTTTAAGACCTTGAAAGTCCACAGCTAGTCGCGAGGTAAGTTAAACACTCTTCCCCCTATTTGGTATGTTAGGTGCTGCATGTTTTAGGTGTGTATGGCCGCCATTTCATTTGGTTATGTGGGTATTCAAAGTGATGAATATAAGTGTTTTGTGGGCGCATAAATTTTCTGTTTAAATTGATTATTGGTAAAGAATTGCATTTAGGAAGCATTGAACATTGATTGGGCAAAGCATTTGAAGATTGAAAGCTTGGTAAATTTGTTGGAATGTTAATGCACCTAAAGTGTTTGTAAAAATGTCTAGGAGAGGAATTTGGTTGGAATATAGTAGTTAATTAAGTATTCTCAATATATTGAGGATTGAAATTTAAGAACATGGTTGTTTAATCTCCATCTTGATTTTTAGAAGGCTATAGATGATATTTAAACACACACATATTATGGTGGTTAAGAATGTCATATTTAATATGAGACTTCTTTGAAATGTGATTATATATAAAATGTTGGGTTCAAATAGTTTGCTTTAATTTTTTGTTTTAATTGATTCTTGGTAAGGAATTGCATTTAGGAAGCATTGAACATTATTGGGCAAAGCCTTTGAAAATTAAAAGTTTGGTAAACTTGTTAATTAAGTATTAATAATGTATTAAGGAATGAAATTTAAGGGCAATGTTATTTAATTTTCATGTTAAATTTTAGAAAAATATGAATGTAATTTATACATAAATATACATGGTGGTTAAGTATGTGAAAAAGGGAAATGTTATATTTTGTTTTAGGCTTCTTTGTTAGTTTCCCAACTTTTTCTTATTTTTTCTTCTATTCCCAAAAGTGGAAGTTTATGTTTATTTCACATATTTATCCACATCCACTATATATTTCACATACCTATGTAAACTAACAAAACATGGCTAGATATCTTCTAAAGTTAGTTAGTTCCAATGTTGTTAATAGAGTTTTGGTTTTGTGTTCTTGGCTCCTTTTTTTTAGTTCCAATTACATTGGATTCATCACATTAGGCACAATATTAGAATATTTACACATGATAATTTTTGGTCCATTGAAATAAACATATTAGGCATAAACTTATATATTAAATTCTTGGATTAAATTGTGTTGGATTGAATATCTGCACTTTGTTTTGAATTGTTTAAATTGGAATTTAGCTGAATTAGATTAAATTACAAATCATTCAACATTTTATTTTTTAAAAAATCATTATTTTCATTTATTGAAGCCAAAACAAACAAAAACAATCCACTATTTTCATCTATTTTGGCTCGAACAAATAAAAATAGTCAACAAACCAAAAAAAAAGGAGACTATTTTCGTCTACTGGAGCCAAAACAGATAAAAATAGTCCCAAAACAGACAAAAATAGTTATACTATTTTTATCTATTTTGGCTCCAGCAGACAAGAATAGTTTTTTTTTTTTGTCTATTGTGAATAGACAAATATATATACATACACTCTTCTATCCCTTATTATAAGATTTAAGTTTTTGAATTGGGTTGTCTCCTTTTTGTAAGATTCCATTGGGTTTGTCTAAATAATAAATGTTTTTTTGCCTACTTTACCCTTAATTAATATATTCTATCTTATTATCTTTTTCCTATACATTCTCTCTCATTTTGTTTTTCTCACTTGCACCTACCCACCTATAAATAAGGACATATTTGGTAAAAAAAAAAAGTACATTTCCAATATATTTATTACTTTTAACTAATTTTAACAGTTTTTTTAAATCATATAATATAGTTTAGTGGATTTTATGATAAGGGACAAGGAGAGTACTATCTATATCTCCTTTAGCAGCATCTTCCCCCTAAATAGATGAAAAAAAGTCCTTTACAATAGATAAAAATAATATATTTTATAGTAGTACATTTTTCTTTTTAACATTTTGGATCAGAACTATAAGCACGGTTAGTCCACTCTTTTTCTTTAGGCAACTTTATAAAGTTTGGGATTTGATTTTGGAAGGATAGCTTTTTCCAAATTAACTAAAGTGAGCCCTACGTATAATTAAAGCGATTAATTTGGTCATACCTTCTAAGATTTATAAGTCACATTTTCCAAATAATTTCTCTTAAGATTTATATTTAGAAATCATATGACAAGTTGAGATATTAAAGTGATTAATTTGCTAAACATTTTTGCTAAGACCAAGTTAGCCATTAACGAATAGTTTCTCATTATACTGAGATATACATTATTGAACAAGTTGAGAGATTTCTCATGTGACGCTACAATTCTTTATGCATCTTCTTCATTTTAGATAATTAGAGCAATAGTTATTAGGTTCTAATCAAACAAAAGTAACATAATATTGGCAACTATAGAGGAGACCATCAGCGGAGGCTTTAAACGACCAACAAATAAAGAGACCCTCAATGGATGCTTCAAGTGACCAAGAAATAAAGATGGAACCATGACCTGAATTGCACGAATAAACAATAACACTCAGAATAAGAAAGAATGAAACTAATTACAGTTACTTTATTTTCTCCTTGTCATTCTTCTTTTTCATCCCCCCATCTCCCCAACCTTCCTAAGTGTACTAGGAAATAGAAGAAAATTGGGAGAAAAGACTTTAAAAGGCCAGTAAAAGAAGTGACTTCCAAATGACCATTTCACCCCATTTGCTACTTAATATATTTCAACTTTTAATCCCATTATTGCATAGAAATGTTGCTCAATACATATTTTATAACTCTCCATCCCATAAACATACATTTCCAAGGGTTAGACTGGCTTGAAACTGTACAAGATATCTCATAATAATGTTTGTTGCCAATTTTCTCATTTCTTGGCCATTACTATGTTAGCAATTTTAACCCTTCCTTGTCAATCTAGTTAGCTCATTGAACTCCAATATAATATCGTATGAAATAGCTTCTCACCACATATACAGCGTTCAACTCCTTATATTTATATCCTTAACTGTTAGGTTAAATTTCCGTACTACTTTCTCTTTTATGCCTACTAGCTTGATCACAATTTCATCAAATAACGTTTAAATACATCTTGAGCCTTATAAAATGAAATCCATTACATAGTTTATTATTAAATATTGTGTGTTATTCACATTTTGCTGATTGTAAACAGTAATAGTAATGAACATTAAGTCGATAAATGTAGTTAGTCATTCAATGGTAATGATAGGAAGAGAGGCTAAAGGAAGATAGGAGGAAATATTAAGACCATAAGCAATCAATGGTAATGATGCAGGAAGAGATTTATTCAATAACTTCATATTAACAGAAAATACATTTAAAAAAAAAGATTTATTCAGTAACTTCATATTAACAGAAAAGACATTCAAGAAAAAGAAATTTGCTGCTCCAATTAACTTCACTTATTGATGCGGTAAGAAAGAGGTCGACCAACAGTCCACACACAAGAACTCAACAGCAACTAATTGAAAAGGAAGAGAGTAGAAATGAAAATGATTTTGACAACAAACTTAGGGAGCTTCAAGAGATGGAAATAAAGGGCGAGGAATTATCAAATGGAAACAAGGGGAGAAAAAAAAAGAAGAATGAACAAAAAGGGGTATTTTAGTAACTTAATTGCATGTAAATTAAAGTTGTGAACTTATAAATTGATATATAATCTAATATTTTTCTTGCAAACGATATGTAATCTAATGTTATATAGGGATATATCATATTTGCTAGAATTAAATAATTTATTTACTTTTCTTAATCAATTTAAATTAATTAAGTAGTACTTACATTAAGAAATAAGAAATAGAGAAATATTTACTTGGGACAAAAGTGGTTCATTAAGCATGGTGCAAAGTGTTATATTTGGCATCAATAAAAATACATTTCTGCTTCTATACAAGGGGTTTAGTAGAAATAAGAGTAGCAGAAAATAGATATTATGGCGTCAGTTAGGCAACAGATACCATGAGTGTATGCATTACGGCGTCAATTATTAGGCAACTCACGCTGTAATTGGAATTTTTCTTTAAAAAAATATATTACATAACCTGCTGTTATATATAGCCAACGTACAGCCATGGAACTTACCATATATGCATCTAATATTATATGCAATCAATATACAACATATACAACTAAAGTTCACAAATAAATGGTTAAACAAAAGTATGCATTTAATATTAGGGAATTTTACAAAGGATAAACATATGCAACTTAATGTATATTTTCTACTCTATTTGTTAAACGTAGAGAGTATTCTGACGAAATGTTGTAGGATCACTTCAAACTTTAAAAATGCTACAGGTCAATTCAACCAATCTTTACGTTAGCAGTATTCTAAGAAAAACTTCCATGTAATATCCTAAACTTTGAAACTAGGAATTAATAAGATTCTTAGGAGGTTTAAAGAATTAGTTAAGGCCTCAGAAAAATAGTTATTAAATAAAAACCTATTTTTAATTAAGTAAAAAATTCTGGAAAATAAAAAAATAAAGAATTATTAAAAATATATAAAGTGCCAGAATAATTAAAAAAATCATAGATAATTATTTTGTGAAATAAAGGAGTCTATAAAGAGTTGATTTCCCAAAAAGGGGTAGAGATAATTCAAAAGCTAATTTCCTAAAATTAAAAGCTATTGTCTTAAGAAATTCAAGAAAATAGTTAACTAGAGGCTAATTTTTAATTCAAAAATTTTAGAAAAATTATTTTGTGGGCGAAAGAGGCTAAATAAGAAAAAAATTCTTAGAACACATTAAAGAATTAAATTTTTACAAGAATAATAAAATTTACTAAAAGGCGACGTTGAGATCTGAGTACTAACTCGCCGAATGAGATATGAGCAATAATTGAAGGGCAACTCAGTCTTTTAGGCACCACCTCACACGCGTGTTGCCTTCCCAAATTGCGTTGGCAACCACCGCCCTCAATCCCTTCCCTCTTTGCTCGACGCATACGCGCACACTTTCCCCTTTCACACGATGCCTACCAAAGAAGCCAAGAGGGATAATAAACAAAAGGGGAAGGAAATCAGGAGTGTGAGAAGTGAAGGCGAGCTAGAAAAAGCTCTCAAAGGGTGGAAGGAGGAGTAGGAAAGAGCTCGACACTACAAAACTCGATTCTAGGCCCAGGTGAGATACCCAAGCTCTCTCCCATCTTTAGTCTCTTCGATTAATATCACCTAGGGGTTGACGGGAGTGATTGGGACTAAAAATTATTGGTCAAGGAAAGGGGAAGCAGCATTAGAATCAAGGGATGGGTGATAGGAGTAGAACAAAGCTTAGGCTGGAATTTTGTTATGTTATATGTGGGAATATATGAATATTGTTTTCATTTTGCTCTTGCTATTGGGCAGAATTGTCGCAGGCCTGGTTGATATGTTTAGTCGACAGCTTATGTTGGACCATGGCGCTTGGTATGGGGAAAGAGAGAGAAGAAGCAAAGGGAGGAAGGATGAACGGGAGAGTTGCAAAGTGGAGTAGTGGCCGACATAGGACATGACGCTTGGTGTGGGTAAAGAGAGAGGAAGGATGAGAAGGAGAGAAATTGACAGAGGTAAGAGAGAGAATATATGAAATTGGGATAGAACTGGGATGGGACTGATCCTGAGACATTTTTATCTTGTCCCAAGACACTTTTGTCCCGAAAATTTTCCGATTGGGACAGGGCATAAGTGAACGCTACTAGTTGCTTGATGAAATTGGATGCTGGAAACTGATTCAAACTTGTTTGCTGTCACCAACTTTAAATAAAAATCTTCAAAAGGTTCAAAGATACTGATTTATATGCTAAGGTGATCGATATGGGAAATAAGCATATGGGTTTGATTGCGACGTTGTGAACAAAATGTAGGAAGTTTAAAAGCATGTCTAATATAATGGATAGAATAAAAGGCTTGGAGCTGAAAATCCAATTGAAGTTTGCTGTTTGGTATTTATGAATATTAAGTTGCTGGTATAGAGTGTTAAGCAAATGCTTATGCAGATGTTTAATTGCTGTAAAAATTTCTAGATTATATAATGCTTGCTGAATCGAAGTATTAAAGCTTAAAAACTGATATGAACTTACTGATTTATGTCTCTAAGTGCTGAATCGTTGTTGCAGCTGTTTGAACTAGTGATTTGTTCTGAGGCTTATGGGTTGAAAATTTGAAATCAAACCTGGAAAATCAGGTTCAAACTGTTGCTTGATGCTTGCAATACACAAGGATTAACTTGAATGCTTAAATCATATTAAAATGGAGATTTAAACATTGTTTTTAAATTTGGAAAAATTCCCAGATTAAAATGGGTTGATATCCAAGTATTAGGTAAGCAACTGAGGTTGTTAAAACATGCTCAACTATTTTAATAGGATGGCATTTGGAAATCTGAAAAATTCCAGATTTAGTGAGGAAGCCACGAAAGTGAAATTTAAGTGTGGAAGCTGAAACATTGATTGAAGTTAGGGTAAGGTGCAAATTTATCCTAAAAGTTTGTGCTTGGAGCACTGGGCATTTGGAAGTATTTTTTGGCTCAATGTTGTCTTGAAAGTTTTCAAATCGTAGCAATGTTGCCCTGGTCGTTATCTAGGTTAAGTTTGATCTTTATCCAAGAACCAGAAACAATAAGCTCAAATAATAGTATGTTCACGCTTGGATTCTTCAGGCCTGAGAATTCCACAAATCGCTAATTAGGAATTTGGCTTATGACTGAATCCACTGTTTGGGTAGCAAACAGAAACGACCCAATAACAGATTCTTCCGGGTGCTGACAATATCAGAGAATGGCAATCTTGCTGTTTTGAATGGGCAAAATTAAAACAGGTTGTATGGTCAACAAATGTCTTGCATATTGCATCAAATTCTAGTGCTCAACTCTTGGATTCTGGCAACCTTGTACTCGTAGATGGAATTACGAGAGCAATTATGTGGCAGAGTTTCCAACATCCTTGCAATATATTATTACAGGACATGAAACTCAGTACTAATCAACAGACAGGTCTGTAAGTGCGACTTACATCATGGAAAAGTACATCTGATCCATCCACAGGAGAATTTTCTTCCAGTCTTGAACAACAGAGTTTTACACAAGCATTTGTTTGGAAAGACAATCGTCCTTATTGGCAGAGTGGTCGATGGAATGGTACAAACTTTCTTGGAGTACCTAGCGTTGGCAACACCTGCAAAAATAACAAAAACAATATGGTTCGAGTTGTGTCCAATGACACTGTCTTTAAGAGTTATTCCGCCATACAGGTTAGAATAAAAAGCGGCACTTCCCAGGATTAAACGAACCCTTCTTGCATGGAGCAAGGTGACAAAACAACAAAAATTTAAAACTCAAGAGAAGAGAAAAGGAAGAGCTCAGGGGTAGAATTTGACACACACTGACCATACAGCACACATTGCCATTTATAGGCAAATAATATGTGACCGTTGGGCTGTCATGATGCTGATTAAATATTATTTTAATGACAATTAAAAGATCGGTTTTAAAACAATTAATTAAGGTGAATTAAATCATTTTAAAGCCATTAAATAATGAAAGAATAAAACTGATTAATAAAAACACATAAATACTTTAATGGTCATCCCTAACAGTTAGTTATAAAGATTCCTTTTCTCAGCTATTTTATTAGCTCAAGTTCACATCTTAGTATACACTAAGTTTTCTTCAATCTTGAGTAATATGAGACTTCTTTTGACATACTCACACACTCAAACTCTAACAATCCCCCACATGTGTCAAAAGGAGCATTATCATCTGAGTTACACACATGAGTATAACCATTTCGTACCTGGTGTCTTTCGGACTTTGAACCAAACCTAGACCAATAACACTAAGTATATAGTCAGTGAAGCCTGCTTCTATGAACCAACAACTCTTGATATGTACTAAAGGCATTAAGAGTCAAATTATACCCTCACAATTTTTGTTGTTAACGGCAGTTTTGCGCGTTATAACGGCCATGCACGTGCCTAGTTCTTAACGAATGCTTTAGAGATTTTGCCACAATCTTATAGAAGCAGTCCCACTCCACATTCCAAGAGGTGATTTCATTAAGTGTACCAACAGTGAGCATACCATCCCATAGGATTATGAAATCATTAAGAGCTTTTGTTCAGCTTCGCTAAGAAATGCATTCTAGCACTTTCTCACATCATGGAAAGGGACTATGAATTTACAATAGTGCTAGTAGAACTAACAAACGATTTATTTTTCCCATTTGAAGCTTCTTTACGGGGTCTCTAATCATAAAGGTTGGGTTTCTATCATTGTTAATTTCATGTTGGCTTAAGTTCCATTCCCTTTGATGTTTCTAAAATCTATTTCTTTCCTAAAGTTTTCATTAACTGATCCGCTAGGTCTACTTTTGACCTCACAAAGTCGATTGAGATAACTTCACAATTTTTAAGCTAGCTTATTCACATAGTATCTCAAACGATGTGTACTTACACTATTATTTTTTCTACAATGGTTATTGCCATTTGGCAATCACAACTCATTGACACTGTGTGTAAGATTTACAGCAAAATATTTACTAAGAAGTTTTTAACAACTTAGCCTCCAATCACCACTAAAGGTGAATGATCACTAGTGGATTTTTTTCATATAACTTGAAATTTAGTTATCATCCATGTATCTTAATACATTGGGAATCTACTGTACAAGATACCAACATTTAAGGTACCCTTGAATATTTAATTTTCTCATAGGACTTCATTCAAACATATGCTCAACCTTACAACAAGTTTTATTACTGGAACTAATTTAATTTAATGCAACAAATTCTCAAAAATTTGTACATATACAGATTGAACTGTACAACCATATCAAATAAAGTATCATAAAAATATTCACATATTGGTTCTTAGAAACCAAACTCTGGAAACGCTTCTCAACTTGAGAGATTTTGTCACTACCTCTGTGATTTCAACACTCAAAAACACATTTGTTTCACCTGTGCTTCTATTTAAATTTTGAAGCTAAAAACCTAATATTTCATATCAACATTAAAATTCAGTACTCACAGTGGTTGTACATATTCATGCATATTTATACCAGGATAAATTATTTATCCACAAGTAATGATATTATGAAAATTAAATACATTTATCTCCAAACAAGATAAATTATTTAATTTTCAAGTCACAAAAAATTTGATAATTCACAAAATTTGCTCTCAATAGCAAATAACAAAGCCTTCATTTTTTTTTTTAAAAAATCACAACACACATATTGAGATTTGCAAAATGAGACTAATACAACTTGAAATAAATTAAAATATATTTTCTCCACTGATATTATTTGTGTAAGGTACCTCACATCTTAAGCACCCCCACACTTTGAAATATCTAGTTCATAGAGGAAAAATTTATTTTCATATCTCATTAATAATAATTCTAATTAAATTAGAACTTTTCCCACAATATTTTGTCACTGCACACATGTAGTAAACCATGTTTCTAAATACTTAATTATTTGAAAACTCCAAATACCAACGTTTATACAAGTGTTCTTTTTTTTCAACATAAAAGCAGCATCACACATTATAGGCATATAGTTGCTACAAATGATCAGTTGTAGCACTTTGAAGAAATTATCGTTTGCATACTAAAAGTGATAATTTAGATCACCCCAATAAAATAATAATTGGAAGTTATCAATTATTAAAACCAGACTAATTATGTCTGTTGAACAACCCAACGAAGCTTTCAAAGTGAAGGTATAAGACCGACCAACGTTAAAAATCTTTTAAAACACATGAAACCCAATGATGCTGAGAGAACTAATGCATGAAACCAGCGGGACGTTTACTGGAATAAAACTAGAAGGTTGCCAATCATTAAACCAGATTGATGTACTCATTAAACGATGAGTCCTCTAACGGATAGGAAGCAAAATAAATTTATTGACATAAGTCATGTAATAACACCTATTGAAACCAATTTATCTACTCATCAACTAGATGTAATAAAACCTCTAAGACTCCAAGTCTCCAACGGATGGAAGAGATCAAGTTCACAACGGAATGCTCATTAACTAAAACTAATAAAGCCTCCAACGGATATGAAATATATATATATTTATATAAAGCTTTAGCCTCAAAATTAAATCATTAAGCTAAGGTTATTCCCAGTGGTCCACAAAAACATGAGAGTACAATTAAGAAAAAATTGCAAATAAAGACCCCCAATATGTAAAATTATGATTTGGGACCTTGAATTTAGAAAATAACAAATAAGGACTGAGTCCTACTTTTTCAAATATGAAATGTGGGTGAAATGTCTAAAATACCTCTCAGTCAAATTGTAATTTGATCTACTGAAGTTGTCATTTGCTAAAGTGAATTTGTTATTTCTCATAGTCAACTCGTCATTTGATATATCCTTAACCAAGTTGCACTACCAAAAAACATGGTTTTAGCGACGGAATTAGCGATTAGCGACGGATTTTCCGTCGCTAATTACTGACGGAATTTTTTCGTCGCTAATCCGTCGCTAACTCGATTTTAAAAAAAAAAAATAAAATGCCACGTGGCACCTCTACTAATTGCCACATCATCACTAAGACCATCTCCATGTGTCGCTGCCACCTCACATCTACCGCCACGTGTGCGCCACGTGTGCCTGCCACGTGTGCGTGTCACCTCCACATGATTCCCTTCTCAAAGTGACTTCTCCATGGCTTGAACCCAGGACCTCCTCCATGCGCGCGTGTGGCTTTATCAGTTGAGCTGTAATGAATCTGTTGACTTATTATGTAAAATTAAATATATATTATATTATTTTACACAAAAATTATATATACATA